GGTAGAGTACAAATGAAAACTCCTAGGAATATTATAGCGAAATTCCAGACCTCCTACATCAAGGATAAAATACAGCAAGCAGCCAAAAAGAAACAATTCAAATGTTATGGAGCCACAGTCAGGATAACACAAGATTTAGCAGCTTCTACATTAAAGGATCAGAAGATTTGGAATATGATATTCTGGAGGGCAAAAGAGCTAGGATTACAACCAAAAATCACCAGCTCTTCAAAACTCAGTATACTCCTTCAAGGGAAAAAAGTGGATATTCAATGAAATAAAAGGACTTTCAAGTATTCCTGATGAAAAGACCAGAGCTAAATAGAAAAACTGGCTTTCAAATATAAGATGCAAAAGAAGCATAGAAAGGTGAACAGGAAAAAAAATCATAAGGGATTTGACAAGGTTTAAACTCTTTATATTCCTACATGGGAAAATGATATTTATAACTCCTAAAAACTTTCTCATTATTAGGGCAGTTAGGAGTATACAGAGAAAGCAGAGATGTGACTTGAATGTGATGGTATGATTATCGAAAAAAATAAAATTAAGAGTTGAGAAAAAAGAATGCACTGAGAGAATGGGAAAAAGAAAGGTAGAATGGGATAAATTATGTGACATAAAAAAAGGCCTGAAAGAGATTTTATGGTGGAGGGGGAAATGGGGGAAGCAGGGAGGGGAGCCCATGAACCTTACTTTCATCAGAATTGGCTCAAAAAGGGAATAATATACACACTCGAGTATATCTTACTCATACAGGAAAGTAGGAAGGGAAGGGGATAAGAGAAATGGGGTAGCTGATAGATGGGAGGATAGTTTGAGGGAGGTAAAAGTCAGAAGCAAAACACTTTTAGGACTGGACCAGGGTAAAAGGAGAGAGTAGGATAAACAAGGGAAATAGGATGTAATCATTACTGTGAAACAAAATTTTTTACAGTGAGTTTCTCTGATAAAGATTTCATTTCTCAAACATATAGAAAACTGAATCAAATTTATAGAAATAAAAGCCATTCCTCAATTGATAAATGGTCAAAGGATATGAACACATAGTTTTCAGAGAAAGTAATCTATAATCATATGCAAAAATGCTCTAAATCACTATTGATGAGAGAAATGCAAACTAAAACAACTCTGAGGTACCACCTCACACTGTCAGATTGGCTAATATGATGGAAAAGGAAAATGACAAATGTTGGAGGGGATGAGAAAAAATTAAAACACTAAGGTGAAGTTGTATACTGATTCTACCATTCTGGAGAGCAATTTGAAAATATGCCCAAAGGGCTATAAAACCATACATACCCTTTGACCCAGCAATATCATTACTAGGTCTGTATCCCAAAAGAGATAAAAACAAAAAGGAAAAGGACTTATATGTACAAAAAATATTTATAGCAGCTCTATTCTGCTGGCAAAGAATTGGAAGCTGAGGGGATGTCCATTAATTGGGGAATGGCTGAACAAAGTGTGGTATATGATTATGATGGAATACTATTGTGCTGTAAGAAATGAAAAACCTGGAAAGATTTATATGAGCTGATGCAAAGTGAAATGCACTGTGTACAAAGTAACAGTAATATTGTAAGATGACAGCTGGGAATGACTTAGCTATTCTTAGCAATATAATGATCCAAGACAACTCTGAAGGACTTATAATGAAAAATACTATCCATTCCCAGACGAAGAACTGACAGTGTCTGAATATACATGGAAATATACTTTTTTTACTTTATTTTTCTTGAGGTTTTTTTTGGCTCTATATTTTCTTTCACAACATGACTAATATAGAAATGTTTTGCATGACTACACATGTATAACCTATATGGAATGGCTTGCCTTCTCAATGAGGGAGGGTAGGGAGAAAGAGAATTTGGAACTCAAAGTTTTAAAAAATGAATGTTAAAAATCGTTCTTACATGTAAATGGGGAAAAATAAAATAATAAGAAAAAAATTAAAAAAAAACAAACCGGTGCTAGAATGACCAGAATCTGAACTATTTACCCATTGTTTCCCTAACAAGAATGAACCATCATGGATGACTTGCTCTTCTGTCTCCCCTGCCCCCCTCCTCAATTTGGGTAGGGGGAAGAAAGGAGGGAGAAGTTGTAATATGGGGCTGAGGGTGGGAGAAGCTAACAGGCATGAACCTTGTCGAAAAGTGCACCCGGGTTGAAAGATTTTGTAACCTACGCTATCTGTACTTTGTACTTTTTTGTTGCTTTCCTCCATTAATTATGTAGTACCTAGGGACACCTCCCAACTTATAAAAGGATCCCCCAGACATGGTTACTCTGGGGTCAAGGTATCTGATGGGTCCCTATCCTCTCAAAACCATAACTCACACTAGTGTCCTTTACTGTGTGCCAGAGGACATGATTAGTTCAAAAATTAATGACGCTGCAAGAAAAGTACTTGATCTTGATATCACTCCCACATGCAATATGCACATGGAAGGAATACACATGGGGAATTAGCAAATACCATTTTGTAGTCTGGTGCTCACTTAGAATTTGCCTTTTATGCACAATCATATAAGGTAAAAATCCAGCCAAGAGATTTGAATAAGCTCAGAGTGCATGGTTATTTCGGTCTTTCTGCAGTGGTTATGCATGGGCTTGTCACTTTATAGTAGAATGATGACTTGAATAAATTCAAGAAGAGGAAAAAATAACTTAAAGAGATAGTCCTGCTCATGCCCCACAAAAAAAAAAAAAATGAATGGGGAGAGGTAAGCATGTATGAAGGCTCTGTTACTCTCAATGACTCATGTGCTCCCATTTCATTGAAAAAATTCCCATTTCCTCCTAAATCCTGCTGGTTGTTCACAAATCACTTAAAGCCACTGTTAAACAGTTTAATTAGATGTGTAAAAGCATGTTAATGGCAAAAAACATTAGATAACTATATCATAGGATACACTAACCCAGGAACTTCCCATTTCCAATGTTCCCTTTTAGATTATATAGTCCACTTTCACTCTCTTAAACTGAGAAAAAGCCTCAAAGAGTCAAGTCTTTTAATAAATTTCCCATCTCCCAGTACGCTTGCCATGTACACTGGGATTGGAAAGTTCTACAAAGGCTTTTGGCAGCTCTGTCAGTCAAGGCTGCATGGGAGAACCAGGTAACCCATTCCCTGATTCCACGGTCCCAGTGGCTCCCAATTTCTGGAAGCTCCATGGCATATTGCTTTGGCTCAAGATAAGCAGCACCTCTGCAACACTATCCCCAGAAAGAAGTATTTCTTAAATACCTTGTAGGCTGAAAATGCTACAGGAAGCCACTCATCAAAAATCTAACACTGATAGATCGGGAAGGGGAGAAGGCAGGAATAGCTGTGTGAAAGTGTTGGCCACCATTTCTTTTTCTTCCCTTTCTTCAAGCTCCTCATGCAATCTCTGATGTCTGGTGTCACATCTGCAGTCAAATGAATTTGGGTCATGCTGACACCAAAGGCAACTGTAAAGTGTCTTGGTACTGGCAGTCTCTGTGGAAACAGTGTACCTCAACAAACACATTACGTATTTGAAGAACTGTAAAAATGTAAGCTATGAGCTACACTTACTATTTTTGGATTATATGCCCCTGTTGGGCCAGTTCCAAAACTTTTACCTTCTCTGGCATGACACAGTACCTAGCACAGAGAATTCACCAAATAAATACTTAATCAACGAAGTGGTAAAATAAAATAATCTTACTTCAACATACCTTGCAAGAAACATGCTTATTTGCAACATAAAATGGGAAGTGTGACCATAAGCTTCCTTCTTTATATCAGCTAATTTTTGGATGATTTAAAGTAGGGTCTGGGTCTTCTTTCAGAAGCTCCAAACTATAACTTGAGGAGTTCATGCAAAGTCAGTGTGGGCCCCCAAATCTACTTTCACTGCAAACCTTCCCCCACTGTGGTTCTTTCCTTCCCACCCTTCTTTCCCACTTCATCTCATTTATTTATTCAGCATTCAGTGAGATCTACACTACCCTTTTTCATAAGGCCCTGATGGGAGCTGGGAGATGCAAAGACTGTCTGGTCACTGTCCAAATGAGACTAAAAGTCTAGTAGGGAATATGCGACATGTTTGTTAACAATTAGAATGTAAGAGAATATGTAATAAGATGCCATATAAACAGAGGCAACATGGGCAATGGAAAAAATGTTGCATTTGGAGTCAGGTGTCCTAGCTGCCAAGCCCAGTCTTGCCATTTACTTAACACTATCAAAGCCATATCTCTTGGGCCTCAGTTTCCTCATCTGTAAAATTGAGGATTACTTCTAAGATCCTTCCAACTCTAAATGTAGGCTCCTTTATAAGGAAAATGGCTCCACAGCTTGAGGAAGGGTGGTGGGTGTGTATGTTCTGCCAATAACTCCCTGTGTGATCTTGCAAGCCCTCTCTGGACCTTCTGCATATGGTGGATGGGAAGGGTGAAGACCTGGACCAGGTGGTTTGAGGTCCCCTACTGCTCTGACTTTTTGCACTTGATCAGGGAAGGCTTTGCAGAAGATTTATTTAATTTCTGAAAAATTTTTAAGCCCAGCCTTCATCAGCTGGTGCCCTGGAAGATGGGACGGAGGCCTTTCCCCCTGCTCCCATTGGAAAGGACCTCCAACTCTATCATTTTACCGAGGAAGAAACTGGTGCAAGGAGAGCTGAAGCGACTTGTCCAAGGTCATACTGCTGATAAGAGACTGGGGCGGGATTTGAACCCGTGCCCTACGAGCACCACATCACGCCTCCGGGTCAAATTCCTTCTGAGGGATTCCATGACGTTACCGTGGGGATCCAGAGCAGCACGCGGGGCCAAGCCTGGGGAAAGCTGGCGCGCCTGCGCGCCCAGAGGACCCCCGCTGTCTCGCGGGCCGCGAACCTAGTGCACGTCCCTTCCCGGCCACCGATCAGCACCCTTTCTACAACTAACTTTTAGCCCCTGGTCTTCCGTCTCCCTGGCTGCATCCAGTGCGCAGACGCACGCTCCCCGGCCCCGCCTCCTTCGTGCCCGGCCCTCTCCTCCGTTCCTCCCTCCCTTCCGGGGCTAGGGAGCCTCCCACCCTGGAGCGGCGCTGGAAGCCAAGTTGCTGCGGCCTGGGTTGTGCGAGCGCTAGGGTAAGTGAGGGGATGGCCGGGATGGTGGCCTGCGAGGGACACGCTCCAGGAGACTTCTTTCAGAGAGCGGGGAGGGGCCGTATCCCTCTCGGCTGGCTCCGGGGAGGGAGCTGGGGTGGGACGGCGATGGGTCTGTGGGGGCTCCGGCCTTGGTGGAGCCGGCTCGCGGCCCAGATCCGAGCTCGCGTGGCGGAAAGAAGAAACTCCTGGGCCGAGGGGAAGGACGGGGCTGGAGCCTCGGACCAAAGGTCCCCCGAGGCGGCTGTGGGGCCCTGAACCCGAGGACATCCACGCCCCTTTGCCCGGGCCACCCCCGCCTTCCTCATCCTCCCCTCCCCCGCCCCGTCCTTGCCCCTCTTCCCCCTGCTTCCCACCTCCCTTCTTTCCCTCCTTCCCCCTCCTCTCCTTCCCTCTTTTCCCCTCTCCCCCATTTCGCCCTCCTTCCCCCTTCCTTTTCCTCCCCCCTTCCTTTTCCTCCCCCCTTCTTTCCACCTCTCTTCTTCCCTCTCCTATGTCCTTCCTTTCCCCTCCTCTTCCTCTTTTCCCCTTCTTTCCTTCTCCTTCCTTTTCTCTCCTCTCCTTTTTCCTCTCCCTCTTTTCCCTTCTTTACACTTCTCCCTTCCCCCCTCCACTCCCACATTGCTTTATCCTCATTCCCCAACCTCTTCCTCTTTCCTTTATCCCTCTCTCCTCCCCAACCCCATCCACTGGGGTACCCCAGCAGCTTCTTTCCACAATGGGGACTTAAGTACTCTTAGACTCCCAGGGAAGAGCTCAGGGTTTGGAATCAGGATCTGAGTTCAAATCCTGTCTTTTCTATGTGACCATGGGCAAATCACTTTTTTCCTACTGTGAGCCCGAGTTTTCTAATCTGTAAAACAAAATGACAGGTTGGACTCGGTAGTCCTATTTGAGGCTTCTTCCAGCTCCACGTCCTGTTTCCTGTGAACAAACAGGGACACTTCACTCCTCTTTGCTCCTTTCTGGGGATAAGAGTACCACATTGTTCTTGTCCTTGAGGATCTCACAGTCTGATAGGAGGTAGAGGAGGAGGTGAAGATAGAAGATGAGGTATGTAGTCAAAATAAATATATTAAAACTTAGGGTTACTGTTGTAGTGATAGGATAAAGGCAGAGGGAGGGCCAGGCAAGGTGCTATGAGAAATTTGAAGGATAATCCTTTTATTCCTGCACAGTGGTGTTGTGAGAGGGAAAAAACATTTTAAGCCTTAAAACCCTGTAGAAATATGATGCTGCTATTCATGGTCCTAGAGTCAGGAAGCCTAAGTTCAGATCTATTCATCTAACTGCAGATCTTTGTCTGGACAATAGGCATATTCAATTGGTAGTTTCCCTTCCCCCCTCCTGAAATTATTATATTTGTTCCATTTTTTCCACATCTTTGGTATCCAAAGTACCTGGCACTTTTTTTTTTTAGTAGGTGGGGAAAGTGGAGCATCTAGAACTATGATTTCACCCCCACAGGGAATTCCCAGAGTGGAGACTCCATCCCTGATGGCAACACTACAACTCATCTGTGACTTAAAATATTAAATTTGTCTGAGGCCCTGAAAGCCAGTATGTGAGGCCAGTTCTGTATCTACTACTCCAGGGTCACTCTCTCTGTTCCCCTTGCCCTTCACAAAGACCAAAAAAGTCCCTTCCCTAAAGGAGCTTACATTCAATGGAAATAATATGTCTGTATATTAGTATCTACAGAATAAATAGAAGGTAATTCCCACAAAGACCTCGTGTAGGAGGTGATCTTGATTTGAGCAGATCTTTGAAGAAATCTAGGGATTCTGGAGCATGGAAATGAGGAATTGCATTCCAGGCAAGAGATGAGAAGATGGCACGTCTTTTGAGGAACAGATAGAAATTCAGTTTGGCTGGATTGAAGAGGGTGTGAAGGGGGGTAATGTACAAGATTGGAAAGGTAAGTTAGTGCTAGGCTGTGAAGGACAGATACTGAACCCAGGTCTTCCTGGCTCCCAGGAAGGAGCCTGAACTGAGCTACATCTCATCTGGCACTTGGCAGCTTTGAATAAAAGCTTGTTGAATGAACAGTGACAGTAGCTTTTGTGATCATCTTCAGATTACTTCATCTCTGTAAAATTCAAGTGGTAACTTGTAATATCTACCTTACAGATTTTTTGAGGGAATGGGGTGGGGTTGATGGGCAGTGCTTTGTGGACCTTATGGTTTATTATTAATTGGGAGCCCAAACCCTAAGGGAGCCAGAAACATACATACTCATTCACTAAATCTGAATTTCCAGTATACTGCAGTAGTAATTTTTCTTACCAAAGTACTTAAAAACTCCCTCCCCATTAATAAAGCTAGATAATCTCTCTTCTCTTCTCTGTCCTTTCTCTTTTTTTCATTTTCTTCCTTTTCTTTCCTCTTTCTCTTCTCTTTCTCCATTTTCCTCTTTTCATTCTTTCCTTTTTTCTTTCTTCTCTCTTTCTCTTCTCTCTATATCTTTTCTCCCTCTATTATCTGTCTCTATCTCTCCTACTTCCTTCTTCCTCCACTCCTTCCCCCATCAGTAAAAGGAATTTCTTTACTTTGGAGTTCACTATGCTAATGAAATAATAGATCCAGTTCCTATACATCTATATCTTTAAAGCTCTTCATTTCTAAAACCATCTGCCTGGATCATCTGGATGGTCCCTGAACAAGACTACACTGTTTAGTTCGAATTAAATTATGTGTTTTCTAAAACTACTAAATCAGATCATTTGCATATTTTCCTGAATGAAGATATATTTGGTACAGTTTGAGGCCGCAGCTCCTATACACTTGAAAACCCAAGGAGGTACAAATATAGTAACAGGTTCTATCTGTACAACCCTGGTCCAAGAACTGTCAGCTAATACAAAACTGTTACCCGGAGAGGTATGGCCCCGAACATGTCTGACTTTGCTATGAAGCAGGCCTCGACATGGTGCCCATCCGTCTGCCTCAGGGCAGGATTGAAGAAAGCCTGCCTCCCGGTAACCACTCTGATGAACTAACAATGCAGTGGCTGGCAGAGCAGTGCCCCAGTTAGAGTAGTTAGAGCCTTTTTAAAATAATAGCAAGACAGCTAGGAAGCCAGACCCCCCTTCTCTTCTGACCTCCAGTCAGGTAAGTAGATGGAGCAGGGGTGGGTGGGTGTAGGCAGACAAGAGCTGGAGCAATTGAGCATCCAAGTCAAAAGACCTGGGTTCTCATCTTGACTCTGTTGTCAATATGCTCTATCATGTTAGTCAAGTTACTTCACCTCTCATCTTTAGTTTCCTCATTTGTAAAGTGGGGATAATCATCTCTCAATCAAGTTAGGTAATGTATGTGAAAATATGAAAAGTCGTAATGTCACAGCGGAAATGCTGAATTTTAAATCTGAGGACCTGGTTTTGAATCCTGGCTCTGTTATTTTAATACATGCATGGCCTTGGGAAAATCACAAAATCCATCTGGATCTTAGGCTCCTCATTAGTAAAATGAGAGGTTTGGACTACCGTAAATCCTATGTTCTGTACCTGTACCAGGGGTCACGTGCAGCTAGGTGGTGCAGTGGATAGGGCACCAGCCCGGGAGTCAGGAGGATCTGAGTTCAAACCTGGCCTCAGACACTTGCTAGCTGTGTCGCCCTGGATGATTCACTCAACCCTGTTTACCTCAGTTTCCTCATCTGTAAAATGAGCTAGAGAAGGAAATGGTAAACCACTCCATTATTTTTGCTAGGAAAATCCTGCGAGGAGTCACAAAGAGTTGGACACAACTAATCAACAAAACAACAAAATACCAGGGGTCAACAATATTTTGAAAAGATAGAGTGCTAAGATTCTGTCCCGTTTTTCTGTTGTATATGGGTGTTTTCAGTGGCTTCCTCCTATATAGATACTAAGAATCATAGAAATTGGTTAGCATCTCAGAGATAATTTTGTCCAATCCAAATAAGATAACGTGTGACAACATTATAACTGTGAAGTATAGGCAAATGCAAGCTTATTGTTATAACTTTACAGATGAAATTAAGAAAACAGGTCCGTAGAGGTGAGGTAGTATGCCCAAGGTCACAGAGTCCGTCAACAAGCATTTTAAAATGCTATGTATCAGGCATTGTACTAAGTACTGGGGACATAGAGGCAAAAATGTGATTCTCTGCTCTCAAGATCTCACAATCTACTAGGGGAGACAACATGCAAATAATTGTGTACCTACAGGATAAATATAATATAAATGGAAGATACTCCCAGATGGGAGGGACTGGACACTTGGGGGATAAATGGATAGGGAACGTCCCCGTGAGCTGAGTCTTGACACCAGGCAAACCAGGAAACAGGTGAGGAGGGAAGGCATACCAAGCATAGGGCACAGTCAGAGCAAATGCTCGGAGATGGGATATCTTGTGTGAGGAACAGCAAGTAGGACAGTGCAGTTGGATCACAGAGTGGATGGAAGATAGTTAAGTATCAGAAGACTGAAAACATAGGAAGGGACCAAGTTGTAGGGGCTTTAAATGACCAAAAGAGGATTTTATATTTATCCTAGAGGTAATAGGGAGCCACTGGAATGGGGGCGGGGTGTAATATGTGTGTGGTAGCATGGTCAGACCTGAGCTTTAGGCAAATCACTTTGGCAGCTAAGTGAAAGATGGATTAAAGTGGGGAAAGATGGGGCCCAATAGGAGACTTGTAGTGATCCAGGTAAGAGGTAATGAAGTTCTGAGCTAAAGTCGCTAAGTGAAAAGAAAGGGGTGTGTGTGTGTGTGTGTGTGTGTGTGTGTGTGTGTGTGTGTGTGTGTCCATTTGGGGTTTTCTTGGCAAGGATACTGGAGTGGTTTGCCATTTCCTTCTCCAACTTATTTTACAGATGAGGAAACTGAGGCAAACAGGGTGAAATGACTTGTCCAGAGTCAAACAACTAGTAAGTGTCTGAGGCCAGATTTGAACTTGGATCCTCCCAACTCCAGGCTTGGTATTCTATCCACTATGCCTCCTAGCTGCCCCATATATTTGAGAGATGTTATGAAGGTAAACATGTCAAGATTTGACACATCTAGTGTCCAGTGAGTAAATGAGCCAGTAAAATAGCAGACCTGAGACCTTGGTCTCTGCTTTTCCTGCCGTCAGTCAGTACTCTACCACCTGCCCATTCTAAGCAGGAGTCCAAATGTAGAAAGGTTACACAACTTTGGGGATCATGGCTTTAGAGCTGAAATGGGCCTTGCAGTTCATCTGGCTCAACCTGCTTGCTCATCGTGTGGCTGAGGCAGAGACAGAGGGAGCACAGTGTGCCTCATGTCACACAGGTAGTGAAATCAAGGACTCTCATTCACTCCCAATCCCAATCCAGTGCTGTTTAAGCACATCCTACTGTCTCCACGGAAGATGAGTTAATACAAAAGTCCTTCAGGAGCAGCTAGGTGGTGCACTAGGATAGAGCACTAGCCCTGAAGTCAGAGGACCTGAGTTCAAATCCAGCCTCAGACCAAACACTTGACATTTGCTAGCTGTGTGACCCTGGGCAAGTCACTTAACCCCAATTGCCCCCAGAAATACAAAAGCCCTTCTATAGGGTTTTTTGGTGACTCAGGAGCCTCTGTAACTTTGTCTCTTGCCTGTTCTAGTGGGGGTGATGGCAACCAGCTGGAAAAGCATTCTGCAGAATGAACAGCAGCTACAAGAGCTGGCCTGGCAGGCCGTGGACAAGGCCTTGATGGAGGGAGTGCTGATGAGAACCAAGCAGGACCCCGGCTCCTCTAATGTAAGCTACGCTGAGTCCTGTCTGGGAGAGGAGGGTGGTGGCCTGGGGTAAGAATGTTGGCTGCTTTGCTGGTGGAGCAGCCGCTGGAGGCTGGTAATATCATTGATCCAATTGCAAGGTCTGGGGCTTCTCTGAGCCACAAGCCATGACAGGACAAAACTTTTTCCTTCCTGAGATTTAGTTCCTCCAGTCAGCAGACACTGGTCTACTGATGAAGGCCACTGAGGGCCTGTACTTGTTCCTGTGGAAAGTTAACTGACAGAGGGATAAGGAATGTGTGTGTATGCTTGCGCATGTCAGCGTATCCATTTATCCAGAGAGAGAGTATTGTCAGCAATAGCACCTTTGTGTGGGAGTGCAGGAGTTGTAGGTCATGAGACTGTTGGATGTTGTTGGGGCCTGACAGGACACATTTGGGAACAGTGAGTTCCAGGTAGAATTTTAAAGATGGGAAAGGACTGTGGAATTCTCATAAATCAGTGCTTATTCCAGAATTAAACGCCCAAGCTACCCTGTAAACCTGTAACACTTGAAAGTTTTTCCCTCGTAAAATGCTTCAGCTTGAAGTTTGAAGACTGATGCCAAATTCTTTACCCTCAAGTAACAGCTAATGCGCATTCATTCCAGTGCTAAACTCCTTCAGCTTTGTGAATTATTCACTAAAGCCTTATCAATTCTTACCAGTTTCCTAATACAGATAGCCCCAAGTTGTGAATATACTTTTTAGAAGATTTTATAAACTTGTTTGTAACTAGAACTATATTTTTGCATAGACGTGATATTAATATTATTATTCAACTAATAATGGATTAAATATGGGCTTTTCTAGATTGGCTTGAGAACGTAACCTGATCTTTGATTCTCTTACCCATTCTGAGTTCCAACTCACTGTCCTCGGTTTATGTTTCTCTTCTGAAGCTCTAACAGTGAGATCAAGGAGCTCTCCCACCCCCCACTACCCCCCTTCCACCTGGAGTACAAGAAGGCCTTGGGGAGAGGGTCAGCATCATGGCCTGAAATTGGAAATTAGCATACAGAAGGTTAATTGGCTGTGTAAGACTCTTTGGTTACACAGGGTTTGCCAGGGCCAGCAGGGAGCAGCAGTGGCCTGGCTGAGAAGAGCTTATTGCCCACGGACACCAGGAATAGAAGGGAACTATCAGTAAAACATAAGCACTCGTGTTGGTTATATCTACATGAGGTGAATGGGGTGAAAGGCAGGGCAGGGCCTGAAGCAAAGTGATGGACAGCAGCATAATGATGATATAAGCTGGGAACTGAAAGGCTTGGGAAGCGGACAGAGCACAGGGTCAACAAAACCAAGTGGATGTGAGTGGAATCACAATCCACAGAATCAGAAAAAAAAAAAAACAGAAAGTTTGAGCCACAAATGGCAGAGGTGAATTACCCACAGACTGGACTATTTGAACAAAGAGCCAATGAGGATCTGTGTAGAATACTATCTTCCCTTTTAGGGGAGCTGGTGGTACAGTGGATAAGAGAGTGCTGGTCCTGGAATCAGGAAGACTCAAGTTCAAACTCAGCCTCAGAAACTTACTGGTTGCGTGATCCTGGGCAAGTCACTTAACCTCTGCCTCAGTTTCCTCAACTATGAAATGGGACTAATACTAGTACCTGCCTCATAGGGTTGTTTAGGATCAAATGAGATAATATTTGTTAAAAAAAAAAAAAAGCACCTGGCACATAGTAGGCAGTATATAAATTCTTATTCCCCCTCCCCTTAGAGTAGGATATTTCCTAGGAAGTTGGGAATCAGCATTTGGTTGGGGAGTAGCCATGGAAAGCCTTTGGAAGCCTAGAAGCACAAATACCAGTTCTTATGTATAGTCCTCCAGATAATAGCCTTTCCAGGTCACTGTGATAGGTAACACATTACCTTATAAACAGTAGGTACTTCATAAATATTTATTAAATTAAATCATGGCAGCAACAGGATACCCTAATGGCCCAGGTCTTAATCTTATTCGTTTAATATTGGAGGGGCATCTTGGGAGCTGTAGGATGGAGAGTTGGGTCAAGCCAGACCTGCCAGAGCAGACGCTGGTAGAAAACAGGGTCATTTTCAATGCAAGAGGTCATTTGATTTACCACTTATAGTACAAGAAGGGGTCTTTCCTAGAGGTCCTCTTTTTTTTTTTTTTTTTTTTTGAGGGGGACAGTGCTGGTGTTTCAGAGTTACAAGTAAAGAGCCATAGCTGGTATTTTATATGGAGATACTCCCTGGAGAAACAGAATAATATTTCTAAGTCCATTGGAGGGAGCTTTTAGATGGACTTGGGTTATCTCTAGGTCCTTAAGGAAATGTCTATGACAAATACTTCCATGTGGGGAAAGGGTGAAATCTGGGAAGTACAAGAGGTCAAGGCCATTATTTATCATGGAGAAAGGGAATCATCTGTGCAGATGACTGGTTAGGGTTATAACAAAATTGATGCAACACTGTGACCTGGTTGTTCTGTAGCATCAGATACTGCTTGAAAGGCTGATTGGTGTGGTCAGTCTTTCTACCAGCTTGAGGGAGGTAAGTGGGAGCAAGCTCTCCTTGTATTTACAGGATAGAGAACAGGGAGTTTTGGAGGTGGGAGATGTTATGGGAGTGGTGGTCCAGGCTGAGGAGCTTAGGAGGCTATGGAGGCAGGTCATTCTTATTTTATTTTTTTTAATCTTTTTTGTTTATTTTTAGTTTTCAACATTCATTTCTATAAGATTTTGAGTTCTAAATTTTCTCCCCCTCCTTCCCTTTCCCCCTCCCCAGGATGGCATGCAATCTGATATAGGCTGTACATATACATTCATATTAAACATATTTTCACATTAATCATGTTGTAAGAAGAATTAGAATCAATGGGAGAAACCACAAGAAAGAAGGAAAAAAAAGAGAGAGAAAGCAAATAGCATGCTTCAATCTGCATTCAGACTCTACAGTTCTTTTTCTGGATGTGGATAGCATTTTTGAGTCTTTTGGAGTTGTCTTAGATCCTTGTATTGCTGAGAAGAACTAAGTCTATCAAAGTTAGTCATTGCATAGTGTTGCTGTAACTATATATAATGTTCTGCTGGTTCTGCTCCTGATTGACTCCGCATCAGTTCATAGAAGTCTTTCCAGGTTTTTCTGAAGTCCACCTGCTCATTTCTGATAGCACAATAGTATTTCATCACATTCAAATACCACACCTTGTTCAGCCATTCCCCAATCGATTGCCATCCCCTCAATTTCCAATTCTTGGCCACCACAAAAAGAGCTGCCATAAATATTTTTGTACATGTGGGTCCTTTTCCCATTTGTATGAACTCTTTGGGATACAGACCTAGAAGTGGTATTACTGAGTCAAAGGGTATGCACAATTTTATAGCCCTTTGGGTATATTTCCAAATTGCTCTCCAGAATGGTTGGATCAGTTTACAGCTCCACCAACAATGCATTAGTGTTCAATTTTCCCACATCTTCTCCTACATTTATAATTTTCCTATTTTGTCATGTTAACCAATCTGATAGGTGTGATATGTTACCTCAGAGTTGTTTTGATTTACATTTAGGCCAGTGATAGCTTTAATTTCTTCATCTGAAAATGAGGCAGGTCATTCTTGAAGAATGGGTGGGTGGATTTGGGATTCTGAGAGGATCAGAGCAAGAGGAAAAAACTGGCCCTTCTGGTGAAAATGTCTTCTAGGAAGAAAATCATGTCATAGGTGTGAGTTGGGACACAGTGAATTATGAAATTGAGAGATAATATGGCCTGCAGGTGCCAGGGGATGATAGGAACTCTCAGAGGCCTTCTGTTTTCCTGACTGGATGGATCGTTTGCTGCAACACAGGCTTTGCATATGCTGATGTGGTAGCTGACAGACCCAAGGCCACCAGAAGTCCTTGATAACTAGAGGTTTTGATGAAATGGAAAGCTCTTCATTGGACAGCTTTGAGCCAGCATGCAGAGCAGTAAGCATGGCTTATGTATGGTTTGCCGTTTGCTGGTGAACCCTGGTGAAGGAAATTCTGCTAACTTCTAGTGGGGTGCCTGGGGGGGTGGGACATGATGGCTCCCAGTATTCGGTTTTGTGTGAGAGTATCTCAGCCCTCTGATTCTTATGCCTAGACAGGAATAGATTATATAAATTTGATCATATGCAGGCTAGAGACCAAATATTTGCTGTTGACTTAGCTTATGGTTGCCAGTAGATATGTGAGGTTGGGGTAATCTGTTCTCACATTCCCTGACTGTTTGGGTCCTGTTTAGGTGTTGCTAAGCCTTGAACGTGGCCTTAGTGATCAGGGCTTCTTTTTCTAGGGGATGCTCAGTGAAAGTTGGGAGAAGAGGAGAGGGTGAAGGGTAGTATATAAAGGGCAAAGTCAGGAGAGTGGGAGAATGGCCCTGGCACATTGAGAAGCAGGGAATAGACTGGTTACTAAGCCAATGAAGTGGAGTCTGGAAAGCAGGGGGCCCAGTCAAGAACCCAAACAAACAGACTGGTAGTGGCCAGCAAAGATTGAAGGTGGGGTGAGAGAGCGAAGGGACAAGGAGATGTGGAGAAAGCCACACTTGGGAACCTGGATAGTCAACCAGAGAGATGTTTGGTGTGCCCAAGACTGAAAGGGAAGTTGGAATGAGAGGTGCGGGGAATGAAGGTTTGTGTCTGCTCATCACTCTTTGCCCCTTAAAAATGAGAATCATGGATATTTGTGTGTTGGGGGCCAGGAAAAGGGCTTACTCGCCGGCTTCTATGGCGAGAACTTGTCACTGTGGTAATGAGAGACAAGGATGGGGGGGAGGTGCTAGAAATTTGCCTACACAGCTGCTGCTGGTGCCTACGTCTTGTTAGGGTATATTTTTTCCCATTGTGAGGAGGCTATGCCTCTTGTAGCCAGTGTAAGCAAGCTATAGCAGTAGGCGGAGGGAAGGAATATTGAACAGATATGATATGATTATGACCACAATTGGTTATGAGGAGTGGGAGGGTGGGATGTGACCTATCTTCCCTCCCTCTATTTGTTTACTATACCTTGGGATCAAGCCACTGTCCTCAATTTGAAGACCACTGTAGGTGTGAAGGCTTAGGAGGATGTGGTCATCACTGCTATTTCAGAATCCTAAAGGGCCAGCACCTCAATGGACCAGGGTCTGACAGTTTAGAAATGCAAGTCCAGAGATGTGGGTACCATGGTGCATGGTTGGGTGGCAGTGGCTTTTAGTATATGTGAATTGTTTCTGAGTTTGGACTAACTGTAGCTGGAATACCTTATTGTAGAGCAAGACCCATAGAACAGTTTCCATTGATCAGAAAACTAGAGCTTTGAGAGGTCTTGGCTTGGTGTGGGTGTCCTGCTTGTGCACGAGATACTTCTGCAGCCTGCATCATATCCATGAGTGTAGAAAGGCTAATAAGCTGTTTTGTCTTCTGTCATCTTTTCCTATTTAGATTGTAAGTTATGCCCCCTTCACCTTGTTCCCCTCCGCAGTACCCAGAGAGCTTCTGGAGCAAGCCTATGAGGTACAAGTGGACTTCAACCTCCTCGTGGACACAGTCAGCCAAGACTCAGCCTTCTTGGAACAGACTCTCTCCAGGTACCAGGGCTTCCAGGTGGGAGACATAGAGGCCAAGGGAGGGAGATGTGCAGGGTGTCGGGACAGGGACTGTGACTTCACCAGGGCTACTGACTTCTTGTTTTGAAGACTGGCATTCCCATTTGTAATCAAGTTGGGTGTGAGTGACATAACCACTATTTTCAATTAGATTTGCCAGATTTCACCCCAGTTAAGAAATGCTCTGGTTTGTTGACTTCTGCTCTCCCTGCTACTGCTTTACACAGCCTGCCCTGCTTTAGTACAACCCAGACCCATGCCTGCCCACCCCCAAGGTTCGTGTGTAATCTGTCACAACCCCAAGAGCATCTGACCTTTTTTCTCCTATGAGTCTTTCTCTTTTTCTCCCAAGGGGCAGGAGGAAGGAACCTGTCTTCATTCCCCAAAGCTCAAGTGGTCTGACTTTGTACAGTTCCTGACCTATAAATAGATAGAAATATATTTCCACCATTGTTAATGTGGGCCATTCTTGTAATGGTTTTCCTTTCCCTTACGTGTTCCTGCTTCCCTAACTCACCCTTTCTACCACCTTAACCCTCCTGTATTGTCCAGATTCCAGGAAGATGAAGTCTAGGCAGGTCCTGGGAGTTCATAGAAATAGAATAATGTCCCCTTGATGAGGACAAGAGTTACCTCTCTGTGCCTCTGAGGGCAGAGTAGTGCTTGGGACATTTTTATTTCCCTGAACTCTGGGATGGGATTTTTCCCATGAGAATGATCTGCAGGGTCTCCAGCCTGGCTGTGGGCAGTGGGTTTCTAGTAGATGATAACCTGGGTGATACCCTGCTCTTTTAGTCTGTCTCTTCTCCACCTGAACTGAGTCACCATGGGAGAACATGTGAGCTAGGCCTGGAGATCATTTGGAAAGGCTATTTTGGCTCTGATGGTACAACAAACTTACTTTTACCCCCAGGTTCTTGTGAGGGGCAGTTAGGCAGTAAAGTGGCTAGAATGCTGGGCCTGGAAGCAGGAAAAGACTTGAGTTCAAGTCTGGCCTCAGACACTTATTAGTTTTGTGACCCTGGGCAAGTCACTTAACCTCTTTGTCTACCTCAGTTTCCTCATCTGTATGTCTCACAGTTTTTATGAGAATTAAAGAAGATAGTATTTGTAAAGCGCTTGGAAAACCTTAAAGTGCTATATAAATGCTAGCTATTGTCATCATCATCATCATCATCATCATCCAGTGTAGTTCTTCCTAAGCCCTTTTTAAACTGTAGCAGGACAGAGATAGCTTTTCCTTCTTATTGCCTCAGATACACATCCTGAGAATTAGATCCTTTATATGGAGAGCCCTGCATCAGGGAAGGATTGTTGGTGGAAATAGGAAAAAGGCTGTAGTTGGCGTTTAATCTGTGGTGAGTGACTGCTTTCTTCTTCTTCTTCTTCTTCTAGCACCATTAAAATAGACGACTTCATCGCTCGGCTCTTTGGCATCTACAAACAAGTCCTGAAAGAGGGCGTTGCCCAGGTGACTTACCGGCCTAACTGCCTTACCCCTGACCCCACCACACCCACTGCCAAGTGTGGCCTAGGGGCCTCTTTTCTCTTCCACTAAAGCCTTTTGTTGGGTGCTGGAGCTCATTTGAATTTATCTGGTGGAGGTGACAGGGAGGAACCAAGAAGCTGTCTCATTGGATTTGAAAAGTGTTAATGAGCTCCCGTGGGGTCTCTGGTAGATTCTCTGAGAGCTGTCCTGTAGTGATGCAGCCCCATGGAAACAGGTCCGGGTCCCCTGCTTACTGACAGTGCCCACACAGATTCCTGGTGACAGCTGTCCTCGGCGTTTTGTTTTCCCTCCTGCAGACGGTGTTTCTAGGACTGAATCGCTCTGATTACATGTTTAACCGAAGTGCAGCTGGCCCCCCGGTCCTGAAACAAATCGAGATCAACACCATTTCTGCCAGCTTTGGGGGCCTCTCCTCCAAGACCCCAGCTGTGCATCGGTGAGCCCTTGATATGCAGCCACTTCTAGGCCAGAATTTCTAGGCCACAAGGCAGACCTAAGGTGTCTCCATCCACAAAGGGCTGTGAGACCCAGCCTGCTGTAGACAGAGAGCACTGGCTGCAATGAGAGAGTTTCAGTCACACCTGAGGAAAAGAACAACCTTGGCTCACAAAGACAGGCCTGGGTTTCCATGTATCCAGCTCTTTAGCCTCTCTTTATACCTCCGAGTGAAATTTTCAGGATTCAGTTTGTTTCTACGTTTGTATTGAGAGGACCGCTCTGTGCCTAGCCCTATTCAACGCGCTGTGGATGTACAAGAGAACCCACCACTCCTGACCTCAGTGAGCTTTCGGTTTGCCTGGGGAAAACTAAGCACAAACCAGATTTAAGAGATGTTGTGCAGTGGTGCGGCAAGGAGACTGATAGCCCTCCCAATCCCACCAGAGCCCACACGCCTGAAGGAGTGTTGTCCTGTAAGCACTAGCTCCACACGGGAGGCTGTGCACTTATTTCAATTCAAAACATGCTTGGAACTCCTCCTTAGAAACTGCCTTCAGTGTCAGGTTACAAGCCATCTAATGAAAGAATCAGCCTCATTACTTAAGTTATAAATGCAGCTGACATTTACAGAGCATTCTGAAGTTTGCAAAATACTTTATATGCATTCTCTTGTTTGACTACTATATAACCACAGCTGGTTTCTATGCCTAAGTAGTAATAATTGATCCACCTTATTGGCTAGACTCCACTTGGCATAGTTTTTGGCTATTTCTACCTTTGCAAGACAGAGATTTGCCACTGTTAAGGTTGTTCCAAAAGGAAGGATTTTGGGCTTTTTCTGAAAGCAGCTTCCAAAGCAGCAGTGGCCTCAGTGAAATCAGTTTGACACTTCCCAGGGGACTTCTTTGCGTAATAACACTCATGTGGATGGTTTTTTTAAAAAATAAGTAAACACATTATATTCTCATTTCATATGCGATAGTGTGTAATCTGCCGAGGTGTGTGGTATAAACAGTGAGGTAGGTCTCCCTTCAGCAGGAAGAGACCATGGGCTGAAATTGCTGGGGAAGACTCTCTGGAGCCCTCGAGGATTGTGGTTCTATAATGCTTTGAGTTACTCAGCAGCCTGCATGGATGTAGCAGTGCTGTTAGGAGAGTGACTAGTTAGTGAGAAGCAGACCGTCAGGCACTCCCCAGGCATGTATTATAACCCTTGTCTTTCCTCCTACAGGCACATCCTTAATGTCCTGGGCAAAACTAAGGAAGCAGCCAGTATTCTCTCCAACAATCCCAGCAAGGGACTGGCCCTGGGCATTGCCAAAGCATGGGAACTCTACGGTTCATCCAAGTAAGGATGAGAGAAGGAGGCAGTATCTTTATAGAGGTTTTGTGAAGAGGGTAGTTACAGACAGCAGCACCTCATTTATTCCACAACTCTAAGGAATAGTTCTAGGACTAGGGAGGTAATAGTCCACTCAGTGTACTCTGCTCTGGGTGGACCAGATATGGAATATCGGCTTCATTTCTGAGTACCACAAATTAACAGGGACATGAATGAGCAGAAAAGTGTCTAGAGAGGGTAACCAAAATGGTGGATAGCTTTGATATCGTGCCATGAGGATAGTTGGAGAAGACATAACTGTCTTCAGATATTTGAAGGACTGGCCTGTAGAAGAGAGATTAGGTTTGTTCTGATTAATCCCAGAGGGCAGAGACAGTGGGTGGAAGATGCAGAGAGGCAGATTAAAGTTCTGGCTGAAGGAAAACTTTCTGACAGTGGGAGTTGTCCAAAGAAATACAATGGCTTCTCCCTCCTTGAAGGTCTTTAAGCAGAGGCTGGAGATATGGACATTTGTGGAATTTGTAGTAGAAAGAATTCTCATTCAGATAGGATTGAACCAGATGACCTCTGAGGCCTCTAACTGAGGTTCTATGAACTGAATACTCCACTTAGCAACAGTTAACTGGTATTTCCCCTCGTAGCCTGCTAGCAAACTTCCAAGTCCTCTCTCAGTCTGTCTCGCCCCACTCCCACCCTGTCCCCACATAATGGTGATTCAGAGTCAGAGTCAAAGCAGAAAACCTCCCCTCTTTCCTTTTGTGGTGCAAGTGTCACTATTCAGGTCTAGTTGTCCCTATACCCAATTTTCTTATGGCTTCTGGATTCCATAACATCTTGTTTACTCTATAATAGTTCTGTTTGGCTATAACTGCATCTAGAATCCATGCCCTTAGAGTTTGCTGCTTTTAATCTGCCGTGGCAAGCCAGAAATACAAGTTCATTAGAATTATGTATAAAGTAAGAGTAGAAAGATCCTGAATGAGGGCTGAAGGGCTTCCCTAGGAGCTTTAATGCCTGAGCTTTTGACCGTTTGTTTTGAGTACTTATTTTGCATTACTTTCTTTGTTTTCATTTGGTTCTTACCTACCTTCCAGACCATTTGAGTTGCCAAAATATTGTGTGAGTGTTTATTACACTGATTGATCTTTTGACAAGAATGATTAAGAGATCAGAGGGTGGTACTACAATTACCATTATTATTGTTCATGAGGCCCTCTCTAACACTTGAGGAAATTAAGGCTACTGTTGGTGAAGTGGTCTTTCAGAATAATCTGTCATATAAAAGAATTTGTTAAATCCTATTTTTAGAGTCTTGGACAAGAGAAAGATGAGCTTGGGAATTTGGAGGTTGTGCAGAGAAGACAAGAGCAGCAGAAACCATGAGTGAGAAGAGAAAATTCATTTGCATAATCTCTCAGCTATAGAGCAACCTTTATTTGCATTATTCTTTGTCTGGTTTCATAAAAGAGCACTCACCTTTTGGGAAAACAGTACTTTGTGAAGGGGAGGTAGGCAGCCTACTGCCTTCAACAGGCTATCTTCTCTCTTCCATTTGCCCCTCTTATCTTATTTCTCTCCTTGTTTCCCATTCATCTCTTTTTTTTCCGTATGTTTTCCACTGCCTGCCAATGACCTCCACAGCTAGAACGTTTTTCCTTGGTCAGATGAGATGGCATGCTGGCTTACACAACCTACATGTTTCCATTTTATAACCCATAAGGCCACCAGCCTTTGCCTTCTCCTAAAAAGAGGGAGGCCCAGGGCCTTTCACCATGGCCAGAGAACATATTGTTAAGCACATCTACAGTTCCTCCTGGCTATCAGGTAAATACTGTGGCCTGTCTTTGGGACTGTCACAGGATTGAGTAAATAGCAACCTTGTTTTCATTTGTTTTCACCTGGGCCTACCATTAGGCTAACATTCCCCGTATTACACCAGGCTTTAGATAGTGACAAAATCAGGAAGGCCTAGATTTGAAGTCCAGGAGAACCAGCTAAGAAGAGTCCCATAGGTTCAGGCTGGTAATGGGTCCAGTTTCAGAAGTCAGACAGTAGGCATCAGGAATTTGAGGAGACAAGGGAACCCAGGCCAAAGCACTGAGCATCCAGGGGTCAGGATCTAGGCAAATGAACCAAGTATCAAGCAGTCATACTGGAGCCCGTGGAGCTCCTGAGGCAGCTCGACGACCCAGCCTCAGTCCATCTTCATTCCTCTCTCACCCTGGGAAGACCCTATCCCTAGGGACCCCAAACTGTAGGTGTTCCACCTGCCCCACCACCCCTATCCTTCCCTTCCTTTTTCCCCAGGTGATTTGCAAGTAACACAAGGGCCTCGGAAATGATCTAACTCCTGCCCGGCCTTCCCCATCTCTACTATGGAATAACTATATGGGTCTTAGCATCAGGACATATTAGGAAGCTCCCAATGATGATATGTTGAGAAACCTCATAAATAGAACTCTGGATGAGTTGAAAGATATGTCTCAGTTTGGGAAGTTAACTCACCTCTTAAATATTGGGGAGGTATAACAAAAGGAAAATGGAATCTGTGAACTTCAATGTCCTTTTTGTAGGGCTCTGGTTCTTGTCATTGCTAAAAAAGAGGAAAGAAATGTATTTGACCAACACTACATAGAACATGACCTATTAGCCAGGTAAGTGTGACCCCTTTGGACCTTGTCTGCATCAGCAGTCCAGGGCTTCTCCCAGTGACCTATGCCTTCTTTCAGGAACATCCATGTGATTCGTCGAAGTTTTGAAGATGTTGCTGAAACGGGATTTTTGGCCCAAGACCGGAAATTGTTTGTGTAAGTTCTTAGGTGGGCTTCTTCCTAAGAGGGGAAGGTAAAGAGGACTGTGGAAAACCCACATCCCCTTCACCCTCCGTAGGAAAGAGTGTGCCAGCCACAATGTCGTCCACTCAAGGAAAGTAGGTTTCTGATGGGTTGGACAATAATGCTAACAACTGTATTCTCACCCATAAATGAGAATGTCCTTAGCACTGCCCTGTTTGACCCTGCCAAAGCCGGTATACACTGCACATAGGCTCCTACATTCTGTCTCTTGACCTCCATGTCTCAGCAGTCATGCAAGAGGAAGGATCCAATGGAGGATGTGCCTGGCACTCTGAGTGTTGGAGCAAGTCTTTTTTTTTTTTTTTTTTTTTTTTTTTTTGGTTAGGCAGTTGGGGTTGTGACTTGCCCAGGGTCACACAGCTAGTAAGTGTCAAGTGTTTGGTCTGAAGCTGGATTTGAATTCAGGTCCTCCTGACTTCAGGGCCTGTGCTCTATCCACTGCGCCACTTAGCTGCCCCCCTGGAGCATGTCTTTTAAGAGGCTACTTAGTTCCCCCCTGAACTCTGCCCTTCTCGTTGGTGAACTAACTCAGCCACTTGTTTAGGCAGTGACCTTTAAGAGTGGGAAGCCATGAATCCCTATGGAAATCCCTCATTTCTAAGGATTTCCCTCAGATAATCCTATACCAGAGTTTTTATACTGACAAGACCCATTGATTGTAACAACTGTAAAACTAAAACTGATCTCTCCCTCTTTTAGTTTCCTTGGGCATGTTGTCTGGCTCTCTCCTTTGTTTTTTTTCTTCCCCATTCTCCTTTACGTCATGTTTGTTTGTGTGCACGTCTTCCATCATATTGGACCATAAGCTCATGGAAGATGTGGCCTGTGTTACTTTTCTTCTTTATCCCCATTGTCCATCCTAGCATTTTGTATACAGAAAGCAATTGTTGAACTGAAATTAATTCATGATTTACTTCTGTCATTTATCAACTTACATAGATAAACCAAACAGTAGAGCAAAAGTAAAGGAAAAAAGAAGTCGTTCCAAGTGCAGAAGGTTGTACTTTGTCTCTTTTGAACAGGACTGTGATGATTCATCCATCTCAGCCTCGTCCTGGGTACTTTAAGCATTAAGGTCCCAACACCTTGTCACCATCCTCACATGTTACTGCTCAGTTAGCAGTGGCACAGTGCCTTGATTTACCTGACCTGTTTGTTTTGTTCCCCCATGGTTCTTGGTGCATCCAGTTTCTTCTTTTCTCTTCTTAGACTAGCTCACCTTCTGTACTAGCCTGAAACGAGCCTCCTTTCCCAAGTCTACTTGTGCCTTTTGTAGTGGGAGACATGTAATGTCATGAGGATTTACCTAGACAGGTTCCACTTCACTCCTAGCCAGGCTTTTGCTATGTAAATGACACTGCAACCTAGCTTTCTTAAGGAACCAGACTCTTTGATTCATGAGACATAGGTTATATTTAATTCAATCATTTAACTACCATTACTTATTAACATAAAAAGATTTCTTTACGTTGTGTTCCAGGGATGGCCAGGAGATTGCTGTGGTCTACTTCCGTGACGGCTATGTGCCCAGTCAGTACAGCCCCCAGGTTGGTATTTTGGGCTTAAACCACTGTTTTGTTCCCAGGAATACACCACTGCATCCAGCCTCAGTTTGGCCTGGGGTTCTGTCCCCTCCTCTTGGGGCTCTTCTGCCACCACATCCTAATAGCCACTTGGCTCTTATGTGCTTCCCCTCCCCACTCTGGCTCCTTTTCTTCCTCATCTAAAAAAAAATCTATTTCCTTCCTTCTGCTTCCCTGAATATGAAGCCTGAGGGGTTCACAGCACCTCATCCATGCCCTTTTGGAGCAGCTGGGCATCAATGTCCCTCTCTTCTTCAGTCTTCTCGGAGGCCTTCTCTCCTCTTTTGTGGCCACTTGAGGCAATGGTGGGACTCATTTCTCCCCAGGCATGTGGTGGTTCATATTTATAGGCATGCCACAGAATGGGTCAGAGATCACAGTGAATATTAGATAGGCCCAGGCTAATAGCAGATAATACTGCATGTGAAACACACAGACACAGAATTGAGGGCTTGTCATACAAAGGAGTTCAGGACCTGGGTTGTCACTTTAATTCTTCCACCAACTTGCTCTTTGACACTAGACAAATACCTTCCCCTTTCTAGACCTTGGTTTCCTCCTCTGAACTAGAGAATTGGATTGTAGGATGTTTAAAGCCCCTTCCAACCCTGAAATTCTCTGAGTCCATGAAAAAGTTAGGAAACCCTGCCTCAGATTGAAGGCTGACCGGATCAGAGATGGGAAAGTCAGGACGACTGCAACAGGCCTGCAGTTTGTCAGAGGGTTACCCAGGGCCTTCTGGATACATTGGATAAATAGGTTGTTGGGGGATATATGGAGGGAGGGGAAAACCAAATGCAGTGTCTTTACCTCCACTTCTAACTGGATCACACTGCCTAGAGAATGGGAAATCTGCTGGGCAGGAAGCCAGGGGGTGCCAGGCTTGGGCCTGGAGGGAAGAGCATGCCTAAAGATTTTTTTTGTCTGGTAAAGAAGGGCGAGTCCTCAGGGAACTGACTGAGAAAGGGTGACTCCTTAGGGAACTACCTACATTCCATGCCAAGGAAGCCGAGCATTTAGGGAGCTAGAGACACGTACAGTCTGAGTGACAAAGTCAGTGAGAAGCCTTCTCAAAGGCTCTGTGTCTGGTCTGTGTGCCAGCAATTGCTTGTCGCATAGATAGGCTGTGCCTAATTGAAATACCAGTGTAATTGTGTTATATGCGAGAGGACTGGCATGGAGAGGGTGTTGTTGCTGGGATAGCCCATGACACAGAGGAAGATAGGAATAGAGGAAAGACTAAATTAACTCTAACAAGTTCCTGCTAATTCTTACATTCTTGATTCTGTCAAAGCATCACCAAGCCCTTGGTTGTAAGATTCCTGTGTTGTGTTGCTTGTGGAGGCTGGAGCAGGCTCCCGGTTGTCTTGCATGTGAAGCCAGAGCAGCTGCCCCATCACAGCAGTCTGGGATGGACAGTGGCGAAATTGGAACCCTTTTTTCCGTTTTTGCTGCAGAATTGGGAAGCTCGCTTGCTCCTGGAGAGGTCGTGTGCTGTTAAGTGCCCAGATGTAGCCACTCAGTTGGTTGGGACCAAGAAGGTCCAGCAGGAGCTAAGCCGCCCAGGGGTGCTGGAGACCTTGATACCGGACCAGCCGGAAGCTGTGGCCCGCCTGCGGGCCACATTTGCAGGCCTGTACTCCTTGGATGTGGTAAATAGTCACCCAGGGCATCTTATCTCCCAGGAGCCCTCCAGCCTATTCTCTCTCCTGAGATGAAATTGGCCCCAAGAAGGAGGAAGATCTGGTGGGGAAAACTGGGCTCTTTGGGGTAGGATTTGTGACAAATTCCTTAGTAGAAAGAGGGGGAACTGTAGTCAGGGTCAGGCCTGCTTTGTGCTGTAAATCAGGGCTAACATCTTGGTGGGACAGCCCCACTGTATGAGAAGGAGCCTGGGAGCTGTGGCCAAGGTCAGTCTGTGAGGGGGGCAGGGCTAAGTCAGGGTCACCCCTGCTCGGTGAAGGTGGTGAATTTCTACAGCTGCTGCTATTTCTGTGCCCACTGCATAGAGCAATGGGCCCCTGCTAGTGCTGGTGCCAAGGGGGGGGGGGTACTGTCCCCATGAAGCTCATTTTTCTGCCTTGTCTCAGGAAGGACAACGGGCAGCCCTGAGCTAGCCCAAGGAACTAGCCCTGGCTTTCCTCCATTCCTGGCCACGTAGCCTTTGGGGGGCCCAGTGCCAGTATCTGCTCTGGGCTCTTCTCCCAGCTCTCTTTGGTATTTGGTTTAGTGTTGGCCAGGCTCCCATCCCCACCCCCACAGTAGATCCATAACACCACAGCTGCCAATGATGGGTCCATTGCCTCATGCCAGGGCGAAGAAGGTGACCGTGCTATCATGGAAGCCATCGCTGCCCCAGACCGATTTGTCCTGAAGCCCCAAAGGGAGGGTGGAGGTAGGTGGCCAGTGTCCCTCTTTCTCTAGGATGTCCCAGTGAGGGAAGCAGGCAGTGGGACCTCAGGCCTTAACCATTGCTGACCACCTCCCCCTTCCCCAGCAGCACCCCCATGCCATGCCTCAGGGGTCCCCTCCTGTCACCAGATCCTGGGGCCTTGTTTCCTCCTTCCTGTTGATACAAGGAGAGGCCAAACCTTGCTACGTGTGTTCCCGAACACAGCCACATTCCCAAAGAATGGAGGCTTCCTCTGGCTGCTAGGGACCAGAGTTGTCCCTCTAGCCCAGGGGGCAGGTCAGCATTCTCCTCCCTGATGTCACTTGAAGTTTTAACATCACCCAAACATTCTAATTAGCCTTAATAGAACCCCTTATGTGTCTGCCATTTGGGGATTAATTTAAATGTTGCTTGAGCCTGTTTATACCTTCAGCCTAGACTGTCTCTTGAGGGAATGAGTTCCCTAGGATTTCAGCTCACTTGTACTTGTCCTACATTTACTTCTTTTGAGTTTCAAAGGGCTCTCCTAGTGCCAGAGAGCAAGCCCCCGTCTGCCCTGCCCATCCATGGGATGGTGTTGTAGATGCTGGGCAGGTCCTCCCTTGTTCTTTACGTAGGTGGGAACCACAAACCCACCGTGTGCAAATAGCCACTAAAACAGCCATGACCTTCAGCATCGTGTTCAGGGCTGTTAGGCCTCTGTCCTGGTGGTTTAATTAGTATTGACTCTAATGCTAGGGACCATATTTTTTTTTTAATTTTTAATTTTTTTATTTTTAACATGTGTTTTTAAAACTTTGGGTTACAAATTTTCTCTCTTCCTCCCTCCCCACCCACCCTTATTGAAAAGGCAAGCGTCTTGGTACAGGTTATAGATGTGTAGTCATGCAAAACACTTCCATAGTAATCCTGTTGTGAAAAACTAAGTATATTTCCTTTCATCCTATCCTACCCATTTATTCTATTCTCTCTTTTGACCCTGTCCCTCCTCACAAGTGTTTGCTTTTGATTATCCCCTCCCCCAATCTGCCCTCCCCTCTATTGACCCCTTGCTCTCTTGTCCCCTTCCCCCCTTATTTTCCTGTAGTGTAAGATAGATTTCCATACTCCATTGTGTATGTTATTCCCTCCTTAAGCCAAATCCTATGAGAATAAGATTCACTCATTCCCTCTTACCTTCCCCAATTTCCCCTCCACTGTAAAAGCCTTTTCTTGTCTGTTTTGTGTGAGATATTTTACCTTATTCTACTTCTCCCTTTCTCCTTCTCCCAGTATAATCCTCTTTCACCCCTTAATTTTATTTTCCAGATATCACCCCTTCATCTTCAACTCACCCTGTGCCCTCTATCTATCTATACATACATGTAATTTTTTTCCCTCCCACTACCCTAATACTGACAAAGGACTCATGAGTTACAAATATCATCTTTAGGGGACCATATTTTAAGGAGGACACTGACAAACTAGATCCATGGCCAGAGGAAGGTGATCAGAAGGCTGAAGGTCCTAGAGACCATAGAGGAGGAGAAGGAAGAGTAGTAGAACATGTAGAGCATTCTAAAGTTTGCCAGGTGTTTCACATCCTTATCTCATTAGAGCCTCACTATTAGGGCATGATGTCAGGTATCCTGCACACTACAGATGAGGGAACTGTCAGAAGTGGAGTTACATAAAGGAGAATTAAAAGGATTGGTTGGTTCTATAGCTGGAAAAGACTTAGGAGGAATGTGATCACTGTCTTCAAGCATCTAAGGGTTTGTTAGGTGAGAAGCTGTCCTAGAGAGAGGATGGTGGCACTTACAGGACATAAGAATTTTTAAATAATTAGAACTGTTTTGCACTGGAAAGAACTGCCCTAGGAGATGCTGAGCTGATTAGGAGTGTTTAAGCAAAGGTTGGGTGACCATGTGTCAAGGATACTATGGAAGGGTCTTTCTCATCTCCCCTTCTCTGTCACCATAAGTAGGAAAGTAGCTCCTGTCATCATTCCTGCTCCCAATGAAAGCCATTAGAGTAGCCTTCTTAGACTGAACTGATAGGATGCCCAGCCCCAATGAGCTAAGCACTCAGGTAGGAGCTGAGCTTGCTCAAAATTGGGTCAGCTTGGCCCATGCAACAGCTAGAGAATACTTGATAGGGCCTGAGGCCCCAGCAGTGTGGGGACAGGGAATGGAGCCATTGAGGTCCCCAGAGTAACTGGCTTTGGGGCGCTCTGTTTTAGGAAACAACCTGTATGGGGAGGCGATAGCACAAACCCTGGAGCAGCTAAAGGCCAGTGAGAAGAGAGCCTCCTACATTCTCATGGAGAAGATTGAGCCTGAGCCCTTTGGGAACTGTCTCTTGCAAGCTGGGGTACCTGCACAGATGACCCAGTGCATTTCAGAGCTGGGCATCTTTGGTGTTTATGTCAGGTGAGCCAGTGTGAAGGCTTACCCCTCCATACCACAACTTCCTTCCAGGTGGACACAGGAAGACCAGAGTTGGAACCTAGTCTCTTGTGCAGTGGTGCACCCCGGGGGTGCACAATTTATGATGTCCTGCTGGTTAGTCAGGAGTCATTCTGTTTCTTCATAGGTGCCTATGGCAGGCCCAGGCCACCAGGAGGTGGGTAGGAGTGGCATGAAGGGGGATGAAAGGTATAGTAAGCTGCTTCTTGGGTCCGTGGTCTGCCCCTCCAGAGAGTCAGCCATCAGTTAGTCAGTCAGTCAATCAGCATTTTTTTTAACTTCTACTATGTACCAGGCACTGAGGTTACAAAGAATAGCAAAAAAAAAGAGGCCCAGTTCTCAAGGAGCTTACAGTCTAATGGAGGGGAGACATCCTGAAAACAGCTGTGTAGAAACAGCTATACACAGGATAATTGGAGACAGTAGTGAAAAGGCATTAACAGTAAGGGGGAACAGGAAAGGCTCCTCTCAGAAGAGGGATTTTGGCTGGGACTTCCAGGGAAGGCAAAGGGTGGAGGATAAGGAGAGCGGGGATCCCAGGCATGGGGGAGAGCCAGTGAAAATGCCTGGAATTTGGAGGTGGAGTAATTGGTATAAGGAACAAGGTGGCCAGTGTCACTGGATCACAGACTATGGAAGGGACTAAGTGTAAGAAGCCCAGAAAAGTAGGATGGGGTTAGGTTGTGAAGGTCTGTGAACACCAAACATAGGATTTTATATTTGATTCTGGAGCTAATAGGGAGCCACTGGAGTTTATTGAATGGAGGGGAGAGGAAAGAGGTAGTCAGACTTGAGCTTTAGGAAGATCAATTTGACAACAGAGTGGAGGAGAGACTAGAGGTGGAGAGAGACTTGAGGCAGGCAGACCCACCAGCAGCTTTTGCAATAGTCTAGACACGAGGTGATGAGGGACTGCAGTGTCAGAAGAGGAGAACGTCTTCCAGAGATGTTGGAATGGTAAAATTTTGATTGCACTTGGCAACAGATTGGATGTTGGGGGTGAGAATAAGGAGTCGGGATGACACACTGGGTGAATGGGAGGATGGTGGTGCTCCTGACAATAATGGGGACATTCAGAAAGGAGGAGAAATTAGGGGGAAAGATAATGAGTTCAGTTTTAGACGTATTGAGTTTAAAGCATCTATAGGACATCCAGTTCGAGATGTCTAATAGGTAGTTGGAAATATGAGCCTAGAGGTCAGAAGAGAGGTTAAAGCATGATAATTCTGAGAATCGTCAGCAGAGAGATGATCATTGACTCCACGGGCACTGATGATGTCACCAAGTGAAATAGTATATAGGAGAGAAGAGGGCCCAGGACTGACCCTGGGCGACACGCATCATTATTAGATGTGACATGGACAGAAATCCAGCAAAGGAGACAGGGAAGGAGCAGTCAGATAGGCAAGAGAACCAGGACAGAGTGGTGTCACAAACTTAGAAAATAGAGGATCAGGGAGAAGAGGAGGATCACCAGTGTCAAAGGCTGCAGAGAGATTAAAAAGGATGAGGCTTGAAAAAAGGCCACTGCATTTGGCATTTAAGAGCTCATTAATAATTTTGGAGAGAACAGTTTAGGTTGAATGATGAGGTCAGAAGCCAGAATGTAGAGAGCTAAAGAGAGCGAGAGGAGAGGAAGTGGTGACACCCATTGCAGACCGCCTTCTCAAGGAGTTTGGCCACAAAAGGAAGCAGAGATATAGCATGATGGTTAGTGGAGATGAACAAATCAAATGAAGGTTGTCTGTGTTTGGGAGACAAGGGCATGTTTGTTTGTAGGCAGTAGGGGAGCAGCCAACAGACAAGGAGAGCCTGAAGGTAAGTGAGAGGGTAGGGATGATGGAGGGGACAAAGATGGGATGGAATGGGATCATTTGTGCACATATAGAGGCAGCCTTGGAAGAGCCACCTCTTCATGTGAGACAGGGGTGAAAGGGCCGGGAGTGGCAGAAATCTTCTGGGTGATGTGAGATGAGGAGGTAGGGGGAGAGGACAGAACTTTGGATGAGTGGCCTCCCATTTTTTGTTTTTACTAAAACATGAGGCAAGGTTTTCCGGTGAGAGGGTCGGGGAAGGGGGAGCTATAGCAGGTTTGAGGAGGGAATCTTAAGGGAGTTGATGAAAGGAAGGCAGCTGGTCTTTACTATTCTCAGGTGATTAAAGGAACTGTGGAAAGCTGAGGACTTTACCAGAGGCAAAGAACAAGAACCAGGTGTCTTTACTCCTAATCTCACTACTCCCTCTGGAGCCAGCTTCTTCCTCCTTTCCCCTTTCCCCAGCACACATTCCCCCACCCCTCATCCTACAACTGTTGGTTTCCTGCCAACACGTATTTCTTCCTCTCCCTTTGCAGGCAAGGGAAGACGCTGGTGATGAACAAGCATGTGGGGCACCTTCTTCGTACCAAATCCACGAAATATGCAGATGGTGGGGTGGCCGCTGGAGTAGCTGTCCTAGACAACCCCTATCTAGTGTGAGGGAACGTGGTTATACTGCCCGTGTGTGTATGCAGGGCGGGGCAGGGCCTGGCTAGTGAATGGCTTTGGATTCTCCCTGCTTTCTTCAGATTTCCACTCCCTCTCTCTCCTTCTCACAGCTTAAGACTGCCTTCAGATGACCAGAAAAGCAGCAGGAAACTTTTTTTCCTGAATCTTAGGTCCTTGAAACCCAGTGGGATCAGAGGCCTGCCCTGCCCCTCCCTCCCCAGAGGTCAGATCTCAGCCTGGAATGGATTAGCTCCCCACCTCTCAAATAAAGATGCATTGATTAAAGCCATGTTCCTGGTGTAATATTGTTCACGCAGAGTTCTGTCCAACCCGGGTTCAAAGCAGACATTTTCTTGCTTCCATGTGAGCCTGAGTAGCAGGCACCATTCTTCGGACCAAGACGATCAGCCCTCATGGCCAAGGCATACCCCAAGAGGTGAGTGGGCCCTGCCCGCAGGCTAAGGCAGGGGTTCTTAGCCTTTCT